GCTCTCACGAAGCGAGTAATGGTTGATTGATGCGTGTTTGTTGACGAAGTCATTTAAAGTTGTGTTTAGAGCTGACACAAACTCATCGATCTAAAAATCTTGAGAGAGCAAATCACCAAATGCTCTGTTTAAGTCATTTTCGAATGCCGTGTAATTTAAACGACGAAAGCTGCGACGTTAGTTATGGATGATAGTCGATGATGGTTTGAGGAGCGTTGAGTTGAAGCACACAGTGTTGTGATCTGAAAAAATGCAATCATTGATGGTTAGGTTATCTACAATGTTGTTGTTAATATGAGTGATTACGAGGTCCAACAAATTGCCATGCACATGTGTAGAGGAGCTGATGTGTTGAGTGAGATTGAAGGATTCTAATAATGAAAATAGGTGATGATCAATACCAAAGAGAGGTTCTGGTGCGTGGAAGTCGTAGCATATGATAAACGATAAAATTATGGCCAATGATGAAATCTAGATGATCGTTAAATTCATCCAGAAAGCTTGTTGAAACAAGGCCGGGTGGCCTGTAAATTGATGAGATAATGAATGACAACGAAAAAATGTTGAATTTTACTGAAAGGCTTTCAAAATTACAAAAAATTGTACTATGTTGATCAAGGCCGTATTTAGGGGGGGGGGGTTTACGGGTTCAAACCCCCTCACCCGAAATTACGAAAATTATAAAAATGAAGTAAAAATTACGTGTGTGACTTAAAAATATTTATATTTAATAAAGTTTTTGTATATGCTTATAATTCCCATTATTTATATAAAATCAATCACATGCGTTTTATTGAGTTCAAATCCATTTCCAGTGACACAAATAAACAAATCTCACGATCATTACGAATGTTTATGCACTTGATCCGTCTACGTATGTAGCTTGCCCGAACTATGAATCGAACTCACGACTTTCACAGGACGAGACGATGTTTTATACCAAAGATATTCTATAAAGAAGTTATTAAATATAATTTTTTATACATTGTTTTAAAAAAGCGCGGTTTCCTTCCATTTTAATATTAGGTAAGGTACTCAAACAAATTAAAGCTATAAAATATTTTTAATTAATTTAAAGAAAAAGAGTGTTTAAGCAAAGTAGTTTGATGAAATTTTTAAGAACAACAATAAAAATATTGACGATAACATTAGTTTTTGTGGCAATGAAAAGGAAGAAAATCGTAAAAGAAAACAATTAGGTTAGTTAGTTCAGTTATGAAGTAGTAAATCTTTTTCTTTTATTATCTAATTAGTTTCGCTAATAAATTTAATACAAGTATTTAGTTTTAAAATGAACAACTTTTACGCTATATTAAACATTTTTTAACAATAATTTTAATGTATTTTTTCATAAATGAACATTTTAGATATTAAAACGTAATCAAAACTGAAAACAGGTGCAAATGTAGATGAAGCAGTTTTGGATGATCCCCAGCCTTCAGGTTCAGTTACAACTGCAACCAATCTCCATGACATAGGTAATTATGTAGGAAATTCAATGACGGATCAAGAAAAAGAAATTGTGTTGAAGTCATTATGGACGCCTCCTAAAACCCACCAATTTCCTGTTGAGCCTAAACGGTGTCTTAAATTTGAACGATTTTCCTGGCTTTCATACTCTGACAAAAAAGAAGGAGCGTTTTGTAAATTTTGTGTTATATTCGGTAGGGAACATGTGGGAAAAGGTGCTAACCAAAAAGTTGGGTTTTTGGTAACAGTATTTTTCAATAGGTGGAAAGATGCCATTGAACAGTTTGAAGCACATGCAAACTTTGAATACCACAAAACATCAGTGATAATGGCTGAAAACTTTCTTTCCGTGGTTGAAAGGAGACAAAAATCTGTAATCAAGTTAATCGATTCAGAAATCTTGAGAAAAGTCCAAGAAAATCGTGCAAAATTGATTCCTATTATTGAAACAATAATATTTTGTGGTCGTCGAAAAATTGCACTAAGAGGTTCGGATGTAGTCGGTCCAGTCTTACACAACAATGTCAATGTTAATGATGGAAATTTCAGGGCTTTTTTGAGATTTCGTGTTTCATCCGGGGATATTATTCTTGAAAATCATCTGGACTCAAGTGCTGGAAACGCTTTGTGTACTAGCCCGGCTATACAGAACTCGATTATACATATCTGTGGTGATCTAATTCAAGAACAATTAACTCTGGTCTCTGGACGCAAAACCTTGCTATTCGTCTCTGTAATTCTACCTTTTACTGGTTTGGTCATAGGGATAATATTTTTTGTTGTCATTGAAATAATTTCTGTTAGTCTTCTTGCCTTTTTGCGAACATTATCTTTATCTTGGTATTCATGATTTTATGAGTTACTCTTTTAGAATTCCTTCAAGTTTGCTTTTTCATATTTAAATCTGGATTGATCAGCAAACGTTTTTAGTACCGTTGGTTTATTCCAAGTGATTACAATCGTTATGTGTCAGAAGATAGATCCTGCTTAGTCCTCCATTCGAGTTTTCCGCTTATCCTTTGACTAGCGAAAGTTACATTAGGTGTGGAGAGTGTTTTTCTAATCCTTGAGTACCAAAAATGATCACTGTTATTGAGATAGAAGAACTAGAGTTTATCTGCGTCCACCCATTCTTCTATTTGTTCTCTTTTATCTCGAGGTTGATGTTTGTCTCATTGTTTTATGGGCATTGAAATTGCCGGCTCCAATGTATGTGCTATTAGTCGAAATGCGTAGCAGATTGACTTTGGCTGATTTATTATCTTTCTAAAATGATCTCATGTATGGTATATACACATTTACAATTCTCAGTGTACCTCCGCCAAATACCACATCAATTCTCAGTAACTCTTCAATACTTTCATCCGTTGATTCTATCGTTGATACATTGAAGTTGATATCTTTTTGCGCCATTTTAATTAGGCCATCTCCCTTGTGTCCACAATTTTTCTGTTTATTTCTGTCTTTTTACCATTGAATACCCCTTGAAAAGTGAGTGTTCATCATTTGTTGCCATTTTTTTCTTGTAACAACACTACTTCCGGTTTATTCTTTTTCAGAAAAAGTGTGTTTGTCTTTTTTTGGCCACATTCAATCACAGTTTTACTGAATTATTACCATCTTCTTGATATCATCTAATTTGACTAATGGGCTTTGCTGGTTGTTTGATGCAGATATCGCATCTCCAGTTGTTATTATTATTCTGTGCATAAATGCTCGTAATACATTTCAAATGGAACGCCAATGAGCATTCATAAGATTGGAGTTCTTTATAAGTTTCTTGAGACACACCAGGCATTTGTTGTTATGCTGATTCTTTGGAGCTCTCACAGACTTGTCCTGTTCTTTTAATATGTTCATCCAACATTTCTAAATCTGTAAAATGTTTTCACTTTGGTTTCTTTGAATACTAATGCAAAATCTGCGGAACGAACTTGAGCATTTTATTCAATAGATTGTTTTGTTGTTAACCCTAATCCTCGTATTGCATCTTTTATTTTTTATAATCTCTGTTGTATCCCTCTGTTTATCGTGTTTGAGGTTGAACAAGTTTTTTGTACATTTACGGCAGGTATTTTACATCCTCAATCTTCGTTGGTTTTTGAGGTATTTCACATCCTGAAAACATCAATGACTAGACCTTCCCTTGTTGCCTTACCGGCTTATGGCTCTAAGGTTTTGTGGTCTAGGATTAGTCTTGATGTCGCCAGCAAACAAGGACAAACAAGTGGCTTGTGACATGTCTGCCCATATAAAAAACACACTAAATAAATCTTTGTTATTTTGCTTCCATTCGAGGTCTTTCGGTTCCCAGTTGTGCCATGAGGAGTTGTTTTTGCAACAAATGATGATTGCTGTAAAAGTGAAGTTTCATCATCACTTTTCCAACAACCATCATCAACAACAAAAAATATTTTCAACAGCTACAACAGCAGCGGCAATATTGTTGTTGCATTGTTGTTGAAAATGTTGTTATTGATGATGATTGCTGAAAAAGTGATGATACAACAACTGCTGCTGCTGTACTGTTGTTTTTGCTGTTGTTGCAGATGTTGGTGATGTTTTATTAATGCTCTTGTTGCGTTATTTATTTGCTTTGATATGATTTGGTCCAGGGTTGGATTCTATACCAGCCATTAATAAGAAAAGCTGGAGCGGGTTGGCTAGTGTAGACTGCTCCGGTAGAAAGAACCCAATAGAGCGGTGTTGTCCATAAGGAGTGATGCTGAAGCCATTTATCAAAACAAATGAGAATGTTGATGTAAAAGTTTTTGAAACCTCATTTTGGAGGTCTTTTCGTTGCTCTGATCGGCTCTACTGCGAGAAGGCCATTGCTCCCGAGCTATCACTGCGTATCACATGTTTTGTGTGATGCGTCTCTCTTTTAGGCTGTTTGTTCTTTATTTCTTTTATATTATTTTTTAGTTTTACAAGAGTGTAATTAATAAATTTTTTAATTTTCACAATTTTTTTAGTAGTTTTTTGGTCTAATTTTTCTTTGTGAACATCCAAGATTTGACGCGTTTATGTTGAAAGAATTTAATAACTTAGAATTTAATGTTATAGTTTCTTCAGATTCAACTTTTCGTTCATTTACTTTCTCATAAGTTGACGTGTTTCTGAAGAAAGTTGTAAAAAAGTTGTACATAATTGTATTGGCTTATTTCACAAAGATTTGTTGAACCATTACGATTTAGAACCCCACTGATGCTAGCAAGTATGGGTGACAATGTTGAAGTAGTTGCGTTATTACTAGATAACGCAGCCGACGTGAATGCTGTTGACTGTTTGAAAAGAACCTCTCTCCATTATGCTGTACGTTTTTTTTTGTTTTATGTCTATCTATGAAAATATGTTCTTAATGATTTAGTTTAATCACGACTTGAATGTCTCACGTTTTAATTTTTATTGTTATTTAGAATATCAATTTGCTTTAATAAAATTTTAAAATCAAATAAACTTTAAACTTTTTAGCTAATATATTTCAAACAGGCATTAAATGGTAATGAAAGTACAGTTTCCATCTTGCTTCAAAAGGAAATCTCTTTAGATGAAAAAGATTTGAGAGGATTTACTCCAATGCATTTAGCTGCGATGTTTGGCCACGTTGGAACACTTGGACTGCTGGTGCAGGTCACACCGATTTTCTTAATTTTATTAAATATGTGTAATTGGTTATTTTTATTGTTATTATTATTAAAAATTAACACATGAGCTAAGTAGATGTTTAAAAATCTGAGAAATAAACAAAACATAAACGGCATATATGAATACATGCTAAAAGTGCAGAGGTGGATATAGGTTCAATTTTACTGACCCAACCCATCACTCACTCAACCCATCTCAACCCAACCCGCCTGAAAATGCAAAATCTCAACCCGACCAAACCCACCATTTCCACGAGTCGCAATTTTAATCAGCAGTCAAACTTTTTCAAATAATATTTAAAATGCCGAACTCAAAAATATAAGCTTATATTTAAAATAAAATACTTTGGTAAAGTAATCACATTGCAAGTGTCATAAAATAACTTGAAAATTACATAAAATTCAAATGTTACTAAAATTTTACTTAGTTTTTTTTCTTCGTTCATAGTAACTGGTTCCACAATGCATAACACTCATCTAGCAACTTTTGAGAGAAGTGTAAAGTCTTCGCTATTGTCTTGCCAGTAGGTTATCAGAGAGGTGTGGTTGGCAGGGACATTCACAGCTTTGTGAGTGTTGATGAATATCTTCAATTAAAATTTATTGATGATTTCAGTGCTTGATGAGCTACAGCCATCCTGCAGGTCAGCAAAAGGATCAAAGCGTTCCTGGCGAATTCCTGGCGAATAAATGTAATCATCTTCAACACTCAGCTATGCTGGTGTAATGAAATATCACATCAGTAATATTTCAGTACATATACAAACATGTATATTGTTTTGTGTGTGTGTATGTATGTGTTTGTGTGTGTGTGCATTACGTCGTTCAAGAACTGACAAGGATAAATTGTACGTGACGAAATTATCAAGGTGTGGGCATGACATAAAACTGCATCCACGCTGCCTTGCGTGCTTTTGAGCAAAAGGTTAGGCCCACCGCTTATAACTGGTGGTTGTCGTCAGGATGGGTGTTCGGATGTAAAAACTTTTCCCCAAATTATTCCTATGCCATCACAAAGAAAAACAACGGCCCCTAGTTCCCAGCAGGCCTTAAGTGGTCAAGGGGTGCCAAGAATCCCTGGGAAGTATGCAATAGCGGAGGGATGTTGCAGAAAAACTCAGAACGGCCCCTCCATGATACTTAGACTTGGAACGCTCAATGTTGGATCACTGACTGGCCGCAGCATAGAAATCGCAAAAATGTTCGAGCGTAGAAGGATTGACATCTGCTGCTTTCAGGAAACCCGATGGAAATCGAATGTTGTTTGTCATGTAAACTCAGACAAAGAAAAATATAAACTATTCTGGAATAGCCAAAAGACGGCCAAAAATGGTGTTGAAATTTTTCTCAAGGAACCGCTAGCCCAAGCAGTACTGGATATTAAAAGGATTAATTCACGTCTCATGTGGATCAGACTTCGTCTAGAAAATCAAACAATGACAGACAGGCGAATCAGAAGAGATGAAAAATAATAGCAAAAATCTAAGTCTGTTGATGACTATAAAATTTTCCGTGAGAAGAACATTTATGCAAGACGTCAAATCGCACTGGCTCGGACAGATCAGTGCTGAGAGTGGCTCACTAAAAGCAAAGGTGAACAAATGAAAACTCTGTATCGTATAGAAAAACAAGCAAAGCGTACGAAAAAAGACATAGTTGGTGCCTATTATATCAAAAACGACAAAAATGAGATGGTTCTTGAACAAGATGACATCAAACTACAGTGAAGAGAATACTCCAACCGTCTCTTAAATGAAAGAAATCCCATCAATGTCAACTTTGACGCTCCACCCATCGAAGGTCCGATTCCAGACATCTCTGTAGAATCTCTGAAAGCTATGAAGGATGGAAAGGTGTAGGTAACAATTCAATCAAGTGTCAGCAGTGTAACCAGTGGTGTCACAAACGTTGTTCAAAAATAATCGGTACTTTATTTAAAGTATCCAATTTTGTTTGTCCTGCTTGCATCAATGCACAACAACAAATTCAAAATAGCAATGTTTTTGAAGCCATTAAGGTAGAGAAAGTCACATCGTTTCAATATCTAGGGGATGATCTAGACTATACCGGAACAGCTGAAGCTGCCGTTCGAGCACGCATACGTGCAGCCTGGAATAAATGGCATCTCCTGGGTCTCTGGACGCTAAACGAAGATTGATTGATTGACAAATACAAATTGCATATGTATCTGTAATTTGTATATTGTCATGTATACACTATGATAATATTTTATGTATATATGATAAATGTATATACAATATGTACAACATTTACCCAAAAATGGATAAATTGGATAACATTTATCCTTTTTTTAAAAACGGATAAATGTTAAACAATTTTGCCTAAAGTGAGATTTATCGGATTTTTTACTTTCACAAACCTAACAAATTTAAATCACACAAACCTCTAAAATGACGCTGAATTTCTTTTAAATCTGCCATACTTGTAAATAAAAATAATTTTCTCGATCTGAAAGAACTTTCACTCAACGGAACAATTATAAAAAGAAGGCCGAACCGATACACCAAAGACACAAAAATATAACCGCGATACAAAATACATCAAATATAAACTTGCTAAAATGTTTGTTTAAAAATAAAAAATTGCAAAAATAAATTAATTATAATAATAAAAAATGAAAATGTTAATTCAATCCAACTCAACCATCGCAACTTCAAAAAATTTGGACCAAACCCATGGGTGAACCCAACCCATGTCCACCTCTAGTTGTTATTGTTATTATTATCATTATTATTATTATTAACAATATCGTTATTGTTATCATCATTATTATTATTTAATTATTAATTTATTTAATTTTATTATTAATTCAATCCAACCCACGCAACTTCAAAAAATTTGAACTTAACCCAACCTATTGGTTAACCCAACACATGTCCACCTCCGAAACAACGCATGTGATAGGTTCTTCACTGATCGATTTTAAGATATCATGATTTTACCGTATTTAATTTTTATATCATGTGTTTACTACAGCCAACATTTGTAAAATTAATTACAGTCAATTGCAATAACAATAAAATTGATACCTAAGAGATGTTTTCAATAATTTTTTAAATTATTTAATTGAATTGGATAAAAATTTATAAAAACCATTTTATGTATATATATACAGCACTGTAAGACTATATTTTTAAAACGTACTCGGTAATAAATTAAAGTAAAAAAACTGTAAAGAAACACTTTTATTTAACTTAATTATTATTAATTAATTTATTTATTAACAAATTTTTACGTAGAGAAAAACCTTACAAAAAAACGGATTGACTCCGAAACCATAGTTACAATAAAGATAATCAAAAATCTTAATTTAAAATCTAATTAAAAATGATTTTATAAATTTATAAATGTTTTTAATTTAAATTTGTTTCTTACATTTTAATTAAATTAACTCCATACATTGAAAATTTTATGCGTTAAAAGTATACGTTTTTACCGACAATCAGCATTTTAATCATTTACAAAATTGCTGACACCACAAACAAGAAGGGGGAGTTGAATAAAAAGAAGGACATAAAAATAGATGCTTTTTATCATAGATATCTTGATTTATCAACATCTAGACCCGAAACCCTTAACACACAAACATCATAACATGAGCTTAGTCGGCCCAGGCATTAAGCTATCGCTTCGTTAAATAAATGACCTTTGCTTAAACTTTGCTTAAATGCTGTTTTAAATCATCTTTCATTTACTGAAAACTTTTGTATCGTTAATCGTTAATTTTCTTTATTTTAAATAATTTTACATTGTATTTAATATTTGTAATTATATAAATAAAATATGAATAAATGTTCAACTTACGGATGTAAAAGTGGATAGAAATCAAATGAAGCAAATTACGAGAAAAACGACGTATCGTTTCACGCCTACCTATTTAAAAATCCGGATTTGTGCGCTAGATGGGTACGTGCTTATCCTCGTAAAGATTATGTTCCAAACAAATATTGCAAAATTTGTTCACTCCACTTTAATTAAACAGATTTCGTAGTGATTAAAGGAAAATTGAACAGAACTGTATGGATTGCCAGTACTATTAGGGAGAGGCAAAGAAAAAAGTTAAAAAAAAGATGCAGAACCATCCAAAATTCAGAATGCACCTTCATATTTGTCCACTCCAACGCAACAACCTCGATCGACAACAAAATCTTTCTTCATTAGCTACTCGTCTCGTTTTGGATATTGAAAGGGCAGAAAAAACAGCTGAAGAGTTCCTAAAAACTGATTTTATAAATAATTGTGGATTGAATGATTTAAAACAACTTTATCTGAAGAATGCACTTTCCCTGAGAAATTTTATTGATGAACAATTTTTTGATTATATACAAAATTGAAATTAAAAATAATTGTCCATCAGTTGCATGTTCAATGCTGGTCAGTGAAAATTATGAAATGACAGTGCATCATCAGGGAGTAAAACTTCCTCATTCATTTATGAATGGTATTATTAAAAAAGATTTAACAATGATTAGCAAAATATTAAATGTTCTCGCTCGTTTAAATGGATGTTCAACTGAAAATTTTAGAGACAAATTTTGAACTACAAAAAAAGGTTACTAAACATCAATTAAAAGCTTGTTTAAACTTTTTTGATGGGAGTGTTGATGAATATCTTCAATTAAAATTTATTGATGGCATTAGTATTGACACAGATTGTGTAAAAATCTACAGCTCTTTAGAAATTTTAAAAGAATTATTCAAACCTTGAATGACCAGATGTCAATGAAGCCACAGTACAGTGGTGAAAAGTATACTCAGTACGACTAGATGTCTTGACTGCGGGGAGGTCCTTTGGGATGACACTTCATTTTATTCCAATGAAGATCATTCTAACATCAACAAAGGAGTTTTGTTGAAGTCTGCTGAATATACATTTTCAGCTTGTCTAGGCTGCTGGCAGTTTTGTTGAAGTCTGCTGAATATACATTTTCAGCTTGTCTAGGCTGCTGGCAAATTTTTCAAACTATGAAAAATTCAGAAACAACACTTGTAAATAATTATACACAAAATGACATTTTGTTGGTTGAAGATAGGTTCTGTTTTAGTAATCATAACGTCAAAGAAATGATCGATGAGCTTTGTTTAACTGCATCTGTAAAAATTTGTTAAAAATATTAATGACAGTGTAAATAATAACAATAAATTTAATAAAAACAATAAATTAAAAAAGTTTAAATGTAAAAAAAATTTTTTCAAATTATATTTTTTATTTCATGAATTTTTGATTAATAAAAAAAATATTAAAACAGCTTTCTTGTTCAATAAAATAAAAAATGAAATTATATAATTGCACTGCATAACAGGACTCTTAGGCACACAGCACATAAGCCTACTAAGCAATATGTGCGTTTAAAGATTTCGGGTCTAGAGGCTGATACATCAAGATGTCTTTGCTTTTTATGTATCCACTCACACTTTAGTTTAAAATCTGCTTAAATCTTATTCGTATTATTTTTCTGAAAAATAGTTATTGAAAGTTTTAAATTATTAAAATTTTAAATAAATATAAAAAAATTTATGGAATAGATCATTAGATTAAATTGGCATAAAAAATGATTTTGTAAATTTATGTCTTTTCTCATTTTTTTTGTTTTCTATTGCTGCATATACATATAAAACGTTAAAAAATATATAATTTTTTAACGCTTTTTAAATGGATTAGAAAATTTTTAAAAATTGCCTTTTCGAACGAAAACTAAAATCTTGAAGCTTTGTGTAAAGCAATCTAAAAACAAGATGGAAAATTGTTATAAAGTTTTTAATAAACGTTTGCATACAAATTTTGTTTAAAAATGAATTTAACCATTAAGTTTTTTGATTGATTTTATCATATTTGTAACTTCTTCTTTTTTATTATATTTACCGCAATGTACATTTATGCACAGTAAATAATGCTTTTAAGAAATTCAGAGTGTCGGAGTCGGATAAAAAACATTCATCTCTGGGCTCTCCAAAAATTCTGATTCCGCGTAAAAATTTCCGACTCCCAGACAAATTTTTATTTTTTATCATAATTTTATTTTATTACTACTACTAACTAAAATATACTTTAAACAAACTCTTAAAATCAATCGATGTAATTGTTTTTCTTTGTAAAATTACTTTTTTATTATTATTTAAAACTTACTGAAAAAGGTTATGTACTTTTATTCACTTCACAATATTAGTATTTATTTTCAGTATTAAAGATGAATTTTAAGAAAACAAATTTTTTACATGATAACATTTTCCGGAGTTGGATGAAAGACTTCTATATATGAAAATAATCCGACTCCGGCCCCTTAAAAAATTCCAACTGAGGAAAAATTTCCGACTCCAACACTGATTTGTTCGCATGCTTTTCAACATTAGTTCCATAATAGCAAACCCAGTGCGTTAATCAAATTCTTCATTACAATTTTTAGTACAAAAATTTAAAAAAAATTTATTTTATTAAAAGCAAACACATTGCCTGTATCAACTCATGCAAAGCAAAAACAATAAACAAAATAATTACCATTACAGAAAATATTTATATCACAATAAAAAGAACATTAAAAAAATAAAAAGCACAAAGGAAAACGGAATTATATTTGGGAATAACTTTATAAAGTTGCAAAAAATATATTGGAAGCTTGAGAAACAGTAAAAAGCCTAAAGAATCCTAGTTTTTTTGATCGTCTCAAAAGAATGACTGCAAATACATTTTAAGTTTAAAAAAGTTAAGATATGATGACTGTTAATGCAATTGGCTCGGTTAGGCATGGAAGATTGTAAGTGAATTTAGAAAGTACAGAAGTCTTGGAAAAATTATTTACAGTATTATTGGCAATTAAGATAGGTAAGACAATTGCAGTAAGGGTTGGTGCAGAACTTTCAGCAGAATCTAAGCAGAAATTATAAGTGGAAAAGGTGATCCATTATCAAGATTAACACTCACAAAATTATATGAAATAGCTCTGAAAAAATAGAAGAACCATTGACGTGTGAGTTGTGAAAAATCTGAAGTTAGTTGATGTTTTTAATCTGTTAGCGTCCAGTGCAGAGTATGATTAAAATGATTGTATTTAATTTTAGGAAGAAACGAAGACATTGCAGAATCACAAATAGAATTGATAAAATTAGATCAAGTTAATCGATTTATGTACTTAGAAATTTTTGTATGTAAAATAACATAATATTATTTGTATTTACTTGCATTATATGTATATAGCAAATAGCACAATACTTTAAACAGTAATGCAAATATTTAACTTACAGTTTACTGTATTCAAAAATTTTTTTAACTTGTATACATTTTGTTCTTTATAAAGAAATTATTTTCGTTTCATGAAGACAGTTTTAAATGTAAAATTCCAAGGGACAAAATATTTGTTATAAATATAATATTTAACAATTAATAAAATAGATTTAACAATTTTCTAAATATATGATGATACAATAAATGATTATAAATGATGATATATGATAAATAAATGATGAAATGTTGATATTTTTAATTATTATTGTTATTATTACTTTAAGTAGGAAAATAATTCCCAAAAAAAATGTTTCGCAAATGTTCACTGATTTGTTTGCTCTCTGAATGATGAACACTGCTTCATTTGGAAATGTTTGAAATAAGATGATTATTATTTATTTTTTCTTTTATTTATTTATTTATTAATATTAAGAAATGAATTAAAATAGGGGGGATGCAATATTAGAGCTCTTGATGATAAAGAATACTCATCTCTGCATTGGGCGTGTTTTAACGGTAAGTCACTAAACTCAAAATTTCATTCTATTAAGACAAAATATGTACGAATTAAATAATCAGATGTGAGTAAAAGCCACCTTGCAAAAGTGCACGTGAATTTTCAATAATATATAATATATCGAAGCAAACCATCTTTACTCATTTTGTAACAATAGGTAAAGTGAAAATACTAGTAAAAATACTTCATGAATTGACCGAGGCGCAGAAGGAACGAACCGTTTTTAATCAAAGTGTTACAATTGATGACAAATGGATCATGAACAATAATTGTTCATCGAAATGGTTGGACGACAATGAACCGCAAAATCACGGTCCAAAACAAAATGTCCATATTGTATATATAGTTTACTTATAAAACTATTTGTAATATTATTATTATTATATATTTCGACAGTTATAATTCAAAATTTTCATTTGCGCTCAACATTCATTAGTTGGCACTACACAATTCTTGAATGTCTTCAGTCGTTTCTTGAACTCAGCAAACGTCAATCCATTCTGTCTTAAATCATCAGGTTGGACGAAAATGAACCACACAATCACTGTCCAAAACATAATTTTCATATTCTATATATACATAGTGTACTTTGTATACAACTATACAGCCAGGATGTGTGTCCAGCAATTCCAAAACAAAAAAAAAGTTTCCATATTGTTAATATAATGTACGTCGTATACAATACAACCAAACTCTCTGCTAGTCGATTTTAAGTTAGTATCCCTAGCATGAAAAATACTTAACGATAATGACCTTGAGCTCTTGTGAGGGTGATGTGAAAAAATTTTGATACGTTTGTCTGACTAGTGAAACTGGTGCGAAATTATTGAGACGTTTGAAGACTTATACTCCGATTTTGAACAAGATTCTTTCTCCCAAAGGAAGCCTGTGCAACGGTTTTAATATCAGAGATACATTATCAAATTATTAAATGATGAGTTTTGAAACTTAGTTAGGAATAATCTGAACTTTATGCAACCATTAAACAGATATTCTGTACAATAGACTATTGCAATAATCTAACCTGGCTATAACCAAGACAACATCTCAAGACAAGTTTTATACTGTCTTGATCTTGCTTAGAAATTTCAAAATGTTTGTCTCGACTTCGTCTGGTCTCGTTTTAAAACCATGTCAGTCTTGGTATCGTTTTTTTACTGTCTTGATGTGTCCTGAAAACAAAACATACAAACTTTTAAACCATTTTTGGTAAATTCTTTTATAAGAATACGTTAAACATACAATAAAACATTTACGTATATAATATAAACACGCATGCGTACTACACTTGCATGTTTTGAAAAACAGATTTCTCATTCACAGTGCCTGGTGTTAATATCTGGTAATGGTAATTTAAAAGTAATTACGACGTAATCATCAAAATATAAAACTATGTAAAAATGTATATTTATAATAGATAGTTTTATGTTAATTAAATAACAAGTCGAGCGACGCGACGACAGCTGTTCTAGGACATCGAGTCCATAACTGCGTATTGACTGGCTGAAATGTATTCACCGTTTAACGAAATTTGCATCGTTGTCGTACGCCGTGATTATGTGAATTATCCTCAGCGGATAATGGTGTCACATCGCGATATAGTGAAAAATAGGTATTGTCAAAGCTATTAAATTGTTTATTGAGTGAAGGTTAATTTTTGTTGATATTGAGGGCCTCTTTAATTTTGAGATGAGATAAATTGGGTTCGAAATCATTGTATGTATCGAATGTATTTGCACCATATGATCTTTGATAGCGCCGTCTTTTATATGCATAGAAAGTCGCTTAGAGAGAGTAGTTCTCGTTTGACCGATATAGCTTTCCGCCTCACAGTGTGGCATGGGAATAAATCGGTATACGAGGCTCGTTTTCTTTAGTTTATTTGACGGGCTCTTTATGATGAGATTATATGTTTGGTTGGTGCTATAACGAGATTGTAAATTGTAGTCATTGTTATTTTTGAGTATATAATTAATAGATTTGATGACGCGTTTAATTTACGATTCGTCGACTTTAAAGTTATCATGCATTTTATTGAGATAATTTAGAGATATGATTGTTTTATAAGGAGGTGGATTTATTGGATTATTGTTTTTATTTAAACTTTGATTAGTAGCATCTTATAATTCATTGGAACATAATTGTTTTATGCAGATTAGTTCAGTACGAAATATATTTATGTCCTAATAGATTTTGTAGATTTTTAGTGTCCTGAGCATGACAAAAATATCCTGGGCATGACATAAAAATGTCCTGAGCATGACATAAAAATGTCCTGGGCATGACATTAAAATGTCCTGGGCATGACAAAAAAATGTCCTGGGCATGACAAAACTGTATCCACGCTGCCTTGCGTGCTTTTGAGCAAAAGGCTAGGCCCACTGCTTATAACTGGTAATTGTCGTCAGGATGGGTGTCCGAATGTAAAAACTTTTCCCCAAATTATTCCTATGCCATCACAAAGAAAAACAACGGCCCTTAGTCCCCAGCAGGCCTCAAGTGGTCAAGGGGTGTCAAGAATCCCTGGGAAGTATGCAGTAGCGGAGGGATGTTACAGAAAAATTTAGAATGACCCTTCTATGGTACTTAGATTTGGAACGCTCAATGTTGGATCACTGACTGGCCGCAGCATGGAAATCGCGTAGAAGGATTTTTGCTGCCTTCAGGAGACCCGATGGAAATCGAATAGTGTTTGTCATGTCAAATTAGACAAAGAAAAATATAAACTATTCTGGAATAGTCAAAAGACGGCCAAAATAGTGTTGGAATTTTTGTCAGAGAACCGCTAGCCCAAGAAGTACAGGATATTAATAGGTTTAATTCACGTCTCATGTGGATAAAGCTTCGCCTAGACAGGCGAATCAGAAGAGATGAAAAATGACTTCTGGGCTGCATTCTCTGACACCATCTCAACAATACTAAAATCTTAAACAATCCTGATTGAAGGTGATCTCAATGGCCACGTTGGAGAGAAAACAGATGGTTTTGACAACGTACATGGCGGTTTTGGCTATGGAGAACGGAATGAAGATGGCAACCGCATCCTTGAGTTTGCTGAAAGTCACGGGTTTTGTTTACTGAACACATATTTTAGAAAGAGGTTGGAACATCTCATAATATACAAAAGTGGACCATCAGCCACGCAAATTGATTTCTCCGCTGTCAAGCAAAAACACCGAAGGCTATTCAAAAATGTCAAAGTTATACCTGGCGAATCATGTGTCGCCCAACATAGACTCCTTGTGGCAGACCTGGTTGTCGAACTGTCAAAACATAAGTCTAAACAAATGTCTCGGAGAATCAAAACGTGGAAGCTGAAAAGCAATATTCATCGAGGATAATTTCAACAGATTGTCGCAACACAGTTAGACCACCAATCACAAGCCAGCACAGATTGGAGTACATACAAAACCGTTTTGATATCGTTTTAACAGCCACGCCTGAGCAGAATGCAGCACAGATGTTTGAAGATTGGAACACCAGACTCGCCGATGATGGATTCAAAGTCAACATCAGCAAAACCAAAGCAATGAACACTGTGAACCCATCCAATCTACAGCTACTGGACGATGGCCCTGTTCAGTTTGTAAAGCTGGTGTAGGTAACAATTCAATCAAGTGTCAGCAGTGTAAAAAGTGGTGTCACAAACGTTGTTCAAAAATAATTGGTGCTTTATCTAAAGTGTCCAATTTTGTTTGTCCTGCTTGCGTCAATCCACAACAACAAATTCGAAATTCGCATACATGCAGCCTGGAATAAATGGCATTTCCTTGCCTCTATATTGATGCGGCGTGACATCCCACTACCACTACGATCAAGACTTTATAAATCTGTGATACGTCCTGTCTTGTTATATGGTGCAGAAACATGGCCAATGACAACCAATCTGGAACAACAACTTCAACGAACTGACATGAAAATGCTCCGATGGATGCAACGAATTAGTCTGAAGGACCACATCAAATCTAACGAAATCCTGCGTCGTGCTGGTTTAGATGATATAAAGGACGAATGCCGGCAACATGAAAATGCTCCGATGGATGCAACGAATTAGTCTGAAGGACCACATCAAATCTAACGAAATCCTGCGTCGTGCTGGTTTAGATGATATAAAGGACGAATGCCGGCAACAATGTCTGCGGTGGTTTGGTCATGTCAAACGAATTGGAAACAGTGCCATAACTTCTCTTGCAGATTTTGAAGTGCCTGGTACACGTCCCAAAGGCCGTCCAAAGAAGTCCTGGTTGCAAACAATCGAGCAAGACATGAAGGCTTTAAATTTAAATGAAATGGATCAACTGATCGTCTAATTTGGCGCAAAAAGTTGATGGCAAAGAAAACAACGTCTAACCTCGGGAAACTGGGTCTCTGGACGCTAAACGAAGATTGATTGATCAAATAGATTTTGTTGACCCGATGGTCGAAATTGTATTTTCATTAGCAGTCGGGGCAGTCAGAAAAAAATATTCAGCACTTGTCCAGAATTTGTGGGTTTTACATAAACCTTCGACAATATCTACTCTTCCGACGCACCGTTTGTTGTCGTTGATGACTGTTATGTGCAGGGCACATCACTATTTATTCTATTAGTTTTTGGGCGATAATTAATGTACAATGTGACTTTTACTGTGATATGCTTTTTAGTTCGTTCAATTCGTTTGGTTATAGAACGTTGTATTTATTTTACGTAATAAAATACCATACGTACATTACGCTTATTGTTTTCTATTTAGTTTGTGTTTCAACTCTTCAAAACAACGAAACACAACAATGACATCTTTGAATGTCGGCGAGTTAGCTCAGTCGCTAAAAGTACCATGTCTCGTGCAGTTACGCAATGGCTTGGTTCGAAAACTGTCGGTCCGAAACTTCCTGACTATCATACGCCATGCGCGTATGATGTGGTGCTTGCGCCTGCATACATAATGTGTTTGTACGTCGTGTGGTGTGAATAGTACAGTCTTTGTGGCACGAAAGTTTAAATGCAGAGAGGATATGTAAGCGGTTCTTCGTTTGTCAGAGCTGCATAATAAATAACAAAAAAAAATTAAAAACTGGATTTTACGGAAAAGGTACGAGGTACATATGGCTCAAGAAGTTTGTTGATAGTCTTCGTTAATAGATATGTGTTTTGATATTGCCAAAAATAATGTCGGTTTTCTACCATCCATTTTAAAATGCAATAAATTTGCTTTCATTTGAGATATTTAATCAAAATAAGAACCATCACAATCTATGCACATTTGCCCACGAGAAATTAAATTATTGATGCCTGTAGCATAAAAATCAGGGGTTCTAGAGGCGACAAACTGTAAGAAGGCATTTTTTGTAGCTTCTTCGGTTTTGAAGCACTTTTCACGCAAAAAGTTGTTGAGGTGTTTGAAAAAGTGGAAATCTGTTGGTGAGAGGTCTGGTGAGTATGGTGGGTGAGGGAGAATTTCGTAACCCAACGCGTTCAGTTTTTTTAGCGTTAGTTGTGCGACGTGTGGCCTGGCGTTATCGTGGAGAAGGATCGGACCCTTTCTGTTAACCAATGCAGGACGTAGTTGGCGTAATTTTTGGTGCATTTCATCAATTTGTTGGCAGTACATCTCTCCATTAATCGTTTGACCAGGTTTTAAAAAGCTATGGTGAATCAATCCAGCTGCAGACCACCAAACTGTCACCATTAACTTTCTTTGGTACAATTTTGGCTTGGGAAAGTGTTTTGGACTTTCATCATGGTCCAACCACTGAGCTGAACGTCGTCTGTTATCATATAGGATCCATTTTTCATCACACATCACAATCCGGTCAAGAAACGGATCGTTTTTATTACTCAGAACAAGTGAAGCTGACACTTCAAAACGCCGAATTTTCTGATTTTCGTTCAACTCATGTGGAACCCACTTGTCAAGTTTTTTGACTTTACCAATCTGTTTCAAATGACGAACTACTGTTGTGTGATCAACCTTGAGTTCATTGGCAACTTCTCGAGTAGTTTTAGCTGGGTTTGCGTCAATAATATCTTTCAGTTTGTCATCCTCAATCCTCTTCATCTTAGAGGCTCATGTTACCAGTACGAAATTTTTTAAACCATCTTTGTGTGGTACGCTCAGAAGCACCGACGTCGCCCCATGTTTCCACAATATTACGAGTTGCCTCTGCCGCATTATGCCCGAGTTTAAACTCATGAAGCAAAATAATCTCAAAATCACGCTTAGACAACATTCTCAAATATCGCTCAAAATCAAAGACACTGAATAGTTGGACCAATTAATTAATAAAGGCTAGATAGAAGAATAAATAACCTTCAAAATGATATATAATGATCAATATATTCAATAAACTATATTTAAAAATTTAGTGATAAAAAATTTATTAACATAAAACCGACATTATATTTGCTCCTACCTAATATAACCCGGTTAACCCTTAATTGAGGCAAGTTTGGTAGATTTAGAATTCAAATTGATCTGTGCTATCAATTGGTAGGTGAAAGCTTGTATATGCGTAGTTGGATCTTTTTGTGTTGTCGGAGAATAGTTTGTAATAATCATCTTTGTTTATGAACACGTACATATTGGACTTGTCAGACAATATCTAGATTATAACAATATCTAGATTTGAGCGAAGGCGTTTGTCGGCAATGAGCTATGTTTTTTTCAGAGCCGGTTTGCGGCTTGCATTACGATGGTGGATGACTTCAACCAATTCATTTTTAGAAAAAACCGACAATAGTTTCTGCTTAGTTAATAACTACAACAAGAATCTTCGTATAACAATCAACCGATTTTCTGCAACAAAAACAAAATGGTAGATGACTGTGCAAACTGCTGTCAAAGTTGATTAATCGCTGTTTCTTAAGTTTATGGCATTAGTTATATAAAAGTTTTAATTTGCTTTTTTTGAAATTCTTGCCGTACGGTCGACGTATATCCATGTTTAAACTAACGTTTAAAAATGAAACTTTGTCCTGATTCAAGTTATGGTTATATTGTTTAGTAGCAATGGACTACAGAACAAATACTTTTTTGTTCTATCTCGCTTAAAATAAATAATAATTTTGATTTTAAACTCAAGAAACTTTACAATGACTTACAATTTACCTTTAGAAAAATTAAGCTATCTAGCGCGGAATATGCTGTGATTTTCATCAATAATTGCGTTGCATATATATGTATGTTTGTGTGTGTGTGTGTGTGTGTGTGGGTGTGAGTTCAGACTGTCGTATATACAGTGTATTAAGAAATATCACCGCTTTTTCCGCATTGTTGAGTTTGTGACTAAGTTTATCAACAACTTCAACGAACCGACATGAAAATGCTCCGATGGACGCAACGAATTAGTCTTAAGGACCACATCAAATCTACCGAAATCCTGCGTCGTGCTGGTTTAGATGATAAAAAGGACGAATGCCGGCAACACCATCTGAGGTGGTTTGGTCATGTCAAACGAAGTAGAAACAGTGCCATAACTTCTCTTGCAGAGGTTGAAGTACCTTGCACACGTCCCAAAGGCCGTCCAAAGAAGTCTTGGTCGCAAACAATCGAAATGGATACAACTGATTGTATAATTTGGCGCAAAAAATTGATGGCAAAGAAAACAACGTCCTACCTTGGGAGAACTGGGTTTCGGGACGCTAAACGATGATTGATTGATTAATGTAATAATTGATATTAATTGCATTCAGGTCATGAAACATGCGTTGATTTATTATTGGAACATTATGTGAAGAATGTGTTAATACCAAATTTATCAACAATGGTATCGACATCAGACAGCAAATTAAAGTGCTTTTTTGGCAACAAATTTACACCCCTCCATTGTTCTGCGTAAGTTTTGTTTTTTATGCCGCTGGTCATTAATTCACAATTATATATATATATATATATATATACATACACATATATATTGTCGGAAATTTTAAAATAATAAATAATAAATTAATGAGGAGGAGGATTTTTAAAAGGGTGACAAGGCCCCACGTTGGGCGCCAATTGTCGGAGATTTTAAATAATAATAAATTAAAATGATAAGAGGAAGCAATCTCCTCCTCTATCTTTCTCAGGGAATTTTTGTATGGTCCGACAATAATTTTTGTGTATATTTTTATCGTGAGTTCGACCAGTCCTGTGTGGAATTTTTCGAATTATATGATTTTACTGAGTAACACACGAACGCGTAAAAATATTCGATAACAATTTTATTAATCGACGGAAGTAAATAAAAGGAATTGAACTAATGAACTCTATAATAATGTAAATGTCAATGAACAAACTGGAATACAAGAATTAGAACTCTTCTTGTTGGGTCTTCAACTTGGAATATGTTTCTTGGCGTTTTAATCGTACAACTTCGACGTGTGTATCCGATGGTGATGTCGATACAACTCCAAGAAATAAAAAAAATGAATCACAAAAATCGGAGCCTATGGAAATTGCAAGCTGCGTGTGAAACTATACCAATGAGTATAGAATCCAGCAAAGAACCCTAGGTCCACAAATAGCACAAGAAACAAAACAACGAGGCGGATTCGTTTTCACAGAACCCAAGGCCTGTTTTCACTGGGCCTGTCTGTCAGTCGGTCGGCTTTCGCACAACCCTGGCCTGTTTTCACTGGGCCGTCAAGTCTGATCGGCTTTCGCACGACCAAGGGCCTGTTTTCACTGGGCCTGTCAGTCAGTCGGTCGGCTTTCGCACAACCCCGGCCTGTTTTCACTGGGCCGTCGAGTCTGATCGGCTTTCGCACGACCAACACAAGACAACAAGAGTCAGAACAACACTGGAAACAAATTGTGTGTCTTCAGTACGCGTGCGAAACTATGCCAATGAGCATAGAGTCTCGTACTAAATCCACTTTTGAACTTAAGGCGTTTCTGAAACTATGCCAATGAGCATAGAATCACGCGTTAAGTCTCTTAGATACCAGAACAGGCACTGATTACTCGAAGCTGCCTAACTGGTGAACCCAAGGCTGACTCTTTGAGAACTTAAGACGTTTCTGAAACTATGCCAATGAGCATAGAATCACGCGTTAAGTCTCTTAGGGACCAGAAGAGGCACTGATTATTCGAAGCTGCCTCACTAGTCAACCCAGTCCTCTAACTGGTGAACCCAGTTTCTCTGTCAAGTCTTTTCACACCCTTCCTTATCAAAACAAAATTAGATTTTGTTTCGGGTGTTTTAAAACATAAAAATCTACAAGGCATGTCCAATTAATCAGAAAAAGTACTAATTAAATTTTAAAATAATTTATAATAATTTATGACGTCATCTAAATTGCAAAACAAAAAAAATACGTTGTCACCTATCGAGTAAATTAACTTGCACCATGCCCCCTATCGAGTGAATAAATTTCGCGTTGAAAATTTTGCAGTATTTTTAGTCAGTATTATTTCATAATTCTGACAATATACACATATATATATATAGTTGTATTATATATATATATATATATATATATATATATATATATATATATATATATATATATATATATACACACATACATATAAAATTAAGATTGAGACAGTCGTAGAAACAATTCCTACATCAGAAGTGTGCGTATAGGCTCGGTTTACAAAAGCAAAGATCGTGCTCTTTAGATATGTTTGACAACATTCATTATTGCCATTGAGGCATAAACTTTTATTTGTTGCTTTGGTGTATACTGAGGTTTTAAATTGATTTTGCGCATTTTGTATTAGTACGTCTAGGAATGGTAGTTTATTGTTAGTTGATTTTTTCATTGTAAACTTTAATTTTGATGAATTTATTCGTTGTAGAAGTTTTTCTATTTGATCATCATCATCATATGTAACAACAACATATCGGGGGTATATATTAGGCTTTAACTCTGGTTCTTCTTTAAATAACATTTTTTCATATGTCCAACTTAGAAGTTTGCGAAGAGAACTCCCAATGGAGAGCCAATTGCTACACCGTCTATTTGCTGATATATTGTGTTACCCGGGCCAACGAATGGCGCTGCAGCTGTACATATTTAAACAGCGCCACTAATTTATCTTTTGGAATTGATAGTGGTGAATAACTAAAATTATATATTCTATCTATTATTTGATTGTGTTCTCTACTGGAACATTTATAAAGAGTGACTCCACATCCAAAGATTCTATTTTAGTGTAAATGGATGGTTTTGTTGTAGACAATATGTCTATGAATTCTCTACTTGATTTTAGGTTGTAGCTATTAGGGGTGTAGGGTGTGTGTGCGCGCGCGCGCGTGTGTGTGTACACACACATATACACACGTATGTGTGTGTGCATATACAATCAATCCCAGTTTATTAGTACATAAAACATTCAGAAAATTCGAAAACATTTGATTCAACATCTTTTGGTTAATGTGATATGTTTTTTCGTACCAATATTTATAAATTTTTAAAATGTTTATCTAACAACTTTTAATTTGTTAGTATTACCGGAAATGACACATGCAGTGAACTTATATTTGACCTCGCAACAGTAGACGTCCTTCATTCTAGAGATGATTTTGGAAGGTTAAATTAAAGTTCTGCCAGTTTTTATCTTATTCTTTTTTACATTTTATATAAATTTAGAAATCTTGAATAGTGTTAGATTTTAAAATGCACAAATTTTTAAATAAATTTTGAACACTGATGATTTGATGCTTTCACCAGAACACCAATGCATGCTGCAGTGTATAGTGGACGGGTTGAAACTTTGAAAATGTTTATGAACAAAGACTGTGATCTAAGCCAGTTTGATAATAATAACAGAAGTGTATTCATGCACGCGTGTATACTTGGAGCACTTCCAATTGTTGGTTGGTGTTCGTAACTTTTTTGAGATTATGTTTTTTAATGACTGTTATATAGTACTTTTATTTTTTTTAGTGTTTTTATTATCGATCGTTTCCATATTACCCAAATTTAAACCACCGCTATTTTATTAAGGCGTGTTTTTGTTTCTTAACCAGGTTATAACCGACTAACACCGAAATATTCCACTTTTTTCTAGGTTAACTTTTGTCGTTCACTTTGTCAGCATGTTCGACCATCTCACTTTACTTTGGTTTTCAGATTGCACATTTTCATCTAACATAATCTCCATATCATAAAAGTGAAGAAACTTTTTTTTAACGTTTGGTTCTTAACTATTTCTTTTTATGTACTAACCAATCTACCAGCCACACTAAAGCAGCGTTCATGTTGCCGTCGCTGTCCGGTCATTTAATCGTTAAAAGTTTTTAGGTTGATAATCATGTGGCATATTTTAATTTATTGAAATTTGTACAGTACAAAATTTGTAACCCTGATGGCTGAGAACATCAATTTTTTTTGTCAATTTCTGCTGAGGTTAATGAAAGTTTGATGTATTTTTCATATTTTTTTTATCTTTTTGGAAGTAAGCGACTTTAATATAATTGCCGATGAAGTAAAAAGATAAATAAAAAACCGAATATAAAAAGCCGGTTTGTTTGATGTTTGATTGATTGATTTCTTTTTTCAAACATTTTTTTCTCAGCGTCGCCAATCTTTCGTCCATATTTGAAATAAATTGAGTTTTTTTATTCTTATTTTATCTTTTTTTTGGTAATAGTAATTTTGCTTTTCATATCGCATACGCGATATACATTTATTTTAATACTTGTTTTAAATTGCGCTAGGAAAAACGACTCGAGTCAATTGAAATTTAAAACCTTGATAATTATTTGTTAATTAATTTGTTGATTTATTCTGTCGAAGTTTAATTTTTTTAAAATAACATTCAAAAAGAATTTATGTTAGAATCATCAAACGATTTGGGTCACGAAGACATTGACCATAACACATCCCTCCATCTTGCTTGCATACACGTATGTTTATCTCTTTGTTGATAACTTTTTTCCAAGTTGAACAATTTTTTGTAGCATTTTTTTGCAATGAAATTTATATAGAGATTTTTCGATAAACCTTTGTAATAAATGTGATGTATATTGTGTTGATTTTAAAAAGACTGTTCATTAAGGTTGTGTTTTAAAGGGTAAACAATTATGATACTAAAATTGCTACCTTAGTGCAATTACTAAGTTGAATGTCGTCAGCCGTTCGAAATGCTTGACGAGTTTAATAAAATTGAGTTACAACAATTGCGTCTTATTGATCAATTAATACAAAATGGGCAAGAACATTGAACCAAATTTATTATATATATATATATATATGATTTGATGATTATATATATATATATATATATTTATATATATATATATATATTTACAATATTCTATAAATTCTACCGAATGTTTGGCGTTAATATGTTTGTAGTTCGTTTTTTCGATTTTTCTCACTAAAGTTTTTTGGTGAACGTTTAGTTTATTAAAATTCAAATTAAACTTATTTTTCGAATTCATGCTGCAAGTAAGGCCATATTTCGATTCCGAATGAATCATCGTCAGTGCTCCTTGCTGTATATATAGGGAAATATTGACTTTGTCAAGATTAACGTTGTAAAAATTAACTATGGTGTTGT